CTGTTCGTCAGTTTTTAAGCTTATTTTCACTAATACACGAAAATATATGAAAGCCCCAACATGGAAACCTTTTATAATAACTTCTTCCGAAAACAAAAGCACTGACGCTCTGGATTTTGCATATGAAAAAGCGCCCAAAGATAATAAGATCCTCCCATAGCATACTCTTCTCTTAGATCGTTGCCCTCCTTTTCTTTGATCCAGCTAATTGACAAAAGCAAGAGGTTATCAAGTACCTCGATATGAGATCCTGCTCACACATGGTTTTCAGTGCCGGGATGTTATATTTTTCTGCTAATTGCATGACGTCAGACGCATCCTGAAATCGAACGGCAAATAGCAAAAAAAGAGAAAGTCTCTACAAATAATCTATAACGGGATCACAATAGAATAATGAAAAAAATTCAACTCAACTACCTACCTCTAGCTCCAATTCCTGTGGACATACTGAACCGGTGTACAAGAAAATCAGCATTATCTTTACAGCTGTTGGCGAGAACTCCTCGATTATAATCATGTTCGTCTGAAATCCATCCGGTAAATATTGAACACCGCTTGAATTCAATACATTTCTTTATATACAACTTCTAGTGCTAAAATTTTATATTTAACAAGCTCTGGGAAAGCAATCCCATAATCAGCAACTTCGTAAAACTGCAACCTGCATAAGCTAAAGGTGCGAGGGACCAGGGCTCTAGGGTTGTTAAATCCCATCTAGAGGCGGGCTCGCTCATTCTACTTTCATCCCTCATGGAATCCTTAACTCTTCATTTCCTTCCTTTGAACGCGCACATGGTCAGTCAATGTCTTGCTGGAGCCTGCCGACGCACAGATCAGCGTTTTTAACCTCTCAGAAGTCTAGTATTTGTTCGCCGATCCCGATGGAGACCTGGTCGTCGTAAGCAATTATCGATAAGGATTGCGTTCCGTGCACCATATGTGTAATAGCGGCGCCACTTCACACCTTGGACACGGTTGGAGAAGGGGAATTGCAGAGGCATTTTACCTAGTACTAGGAAACGCGCCCTGATCAATGCGTCGAGACTTCGACGGAAGCACACAGTCAATAGCTAACGCAGGCAGCACCCATTCAATAATCCATTCAGGAGCTACAGTACATTTCCATTGAACTATTAAATTCTTGCCAGAGAACAATTACAGTCCAAAAGACATCCGTAAATCCTTGATACTACAGATTACTTACTATTCAATTTGCGATGAAGCCTATGGAAATTTGTTATGTAAAACCGAAATGAAATTAAAATTACCGAATGAAATTATTGAAATAATACATGGAAATTACCCCATTCTGAGCAAAAATTTCTAACTTCAATTGAAACGAATGATTCTGAACAAACTTTCAGCTGTATTGTTCAAGGCACTATCGTCTTTAGCACCATAACAAATGAATTTTACAAAATATTAAAAAAGGAAAATTGAAAACGGTTTTCCACTTCTAATTAAGACACTACTGTTGAAGCAAATATTTCTACCTTGCTCTCCTCCATATTATGTCCTAGCATAG